CAGCTATGGCTGCTCTACAGCTGTGTGGCATCCAGCTCATTGCCACCTTCTTACAAGCTGCTTAAAACAGTTGTAGAATTATTATTATTGTTAGGCTTCAAACAAAGGAGTTTTGAATGCCAAAGTCCTGGAAGTTTACATTGATGTAGTTATAGCTAATTTAGGTATGGACAAAAGTTTACTGTGGCTGAAAACTTAAGAGTTTCAAGGCGAGAGACCAGGACTTCTGGACATATCCAAGCCATTGTTTAGGAGCAGGTTGCAAGACATTTTCTGTTGGTATTCTTTTTCTGAATCCCACGCTTGTTTAAATATCTGAATGAAAAAAGAAAAGATGGGAAAAAACCCCACAGTTTTACTTTTCCTATTTGCTCGCCTGGTGAATGAAAAAATGTCTAATGAAGCAACAGAGTCTTTAATAATGACTAATCAAATTTTTTATTTATGAGATTTTAGTTTGCTTTGGGCAGTGTGCTTTTTTTTTTTTTGTTTGTTTCCTTTTTTGGTTTTTGTTTTAAAATGTGTTCCTATATTTGCTACTGGGGGACTGGGATGTGGTTCCTTACTACCCATAGCGCTTTACGCAAAGCCTTTACGAACTACTGAAGGCATCTTTCATGTCTGAGTCTGCAGATGAGGAAGAGATCAATGAATGGAGCTGCAGGACAAATTTAAAAAAAATGCAGGAAGTGGTTAAGCTGGAAGTGTGGAGCACAACAGTGACAACATGAAAGTGCGTATTTTTAAATGCGGTGAGACACAACATGTTTGAGAAGCACACCCCTCATGTAAAACCATGTCTGACTTGCTACTCTGGCAACCTTAGCAGATCAGCCTGCTTGTTATTTGTGCAAATACACCTTTATATTTATAACCTTTATATATTATAACTTTGGGCATTACTTTCAAGGTTTATCAACTTCTGTTCTGTGTAAGTCTCAATTATTTCTAAATGTCCTTGAGGGGGACAATAACATGCTTTTTCTTACTCCCAGATTTTCTTAGGGCTCTGTTTGCCCAGATTAACTAGATTTAATCTAGATTAACTCGGCTATCCTCCCATCAGAAGCAGTGCTGCGAAGTACTCTGTGTGGTCTCTGATAAAGAACCTGCTTCTTTCCTTTCTGGACTTCTAACTAAACAACCTTAAACACAAAATTCTGCTATCTGAATTACAGAAATGTTACCAACTCCAGCATTAATATTACCTAGACATTTGAGAATGATACTCTATAATGGTGCAGATATTAAAGGCACTGTTAATGTAAAGGATAAGTAGCATTAATACATCTGGAGAAATAAGTGGACCACGTTATCACTTTCCCGGAGCCAAAAAAGCTGCTTCTGAAGCAAGCAGCAGAGAAAACACGAGACTGCAGCCCTCAGAGACGACAGGTCACATATGCAGAAATCTCTCAATCAAGATGGAGCATTGTGGTTTGGGATTTGTTTTCTCTGAGCCTTTATTAAAAATAGAGGCAGTGGTGAGATTGTTTTATAGCCGTACCACAGTAATTCACTGGGTAGATATTGTATTTTCTCCACCCATGTTCTAGAATAATAAAACAATGGCAACAACAATATCTCTGGAGAATGAAATGTTTTTACACGAGATTTGTTTTAGTAATAGTGAAACTTGCTTTTACCCCCATTCAGTTTACTCTACTTTGAAAAGCTCATGGTCTGATCTAGATGCCTGCACATTCTACCTAACGTCACTATTGATAGAAAAGGAGAGGGGAAAATAAAGCTCAGAAAACTTTTTTGAAGACAAGTAACTGCCAGACCTGATGCATTTATACATGTATAAATATGTGTATGTATGTGTGCGTGTGTGTGTATATATAAATTGAGACCATGTATCCGAAATAGCTCCTGTGCCTTATTACTTGTTCCTTACAGTAAGATAAATGTAAATCTGTGTCTTCCTTCCACTGAATTTCCGTTTTCTAACTACAGAGAGTTGACTGTCCAGGGAGCTGAGTCCACGTGATAGTGATTGTTTGCCAGGGAAACAAATAAGGAAACAAGAACAGAGCGCTTCTAAAACACGCTAATGCAAAGGCAGAATAGAAGTAAAAAAATGAAGATGTGCCTGAGAAACGCCAACTGAAAACCTAAGCCTACATCATTCTCCTTCACAAGTATCAGAGTAACATAGTATAGTCCCAGCTTAAATGTAGGTCAGCTGGATTTGTGTTCAGATATTTATGGGTAAACAAGGTAAATTAGTAATATGGTTGTTTGCCTATCAAGTTGTTTGCCTCAGGATGTAAAACAGAACATTTTTTTTTTAATGTGACGCCAGAAACACTTTGGGGAAGAAAAGCTCCCCTAATAAACATCCTATGTATAGGATTACAGTTGCATGGGAAAAAATATTGTTTTGTAGTAATATTTACTTAACAATGTGATTCCTGCCAGAACTGAATGCCAATTTGGTATAGGAAGCAGAAGTTAAAGCCATCATAAGTACTTTTATTTCCCTTTTTTTTTGGTTGTTTTTTTTTTTTTTTTTTAGTAAAAAATTCAGGTTGTACTGCTGCTGGATCATCATCCAACTGCAGAACTGATGACAGAGCTACACTGAGCCTCCCTGGAAGCTGTCAGCAGTCCAGTGCCTTACCTGTGTTGCCATGATTTTAGCTGCTGCAAGGGAGTCTCCTTGACAGGCTTACAGATGTGCACAATCTCCACCTTGAATTTATGTCAAAGATTAAGAGAGGAAAAATTGTAACGAAACCTAGCCAACAACGCCGAACAGGCTGCTGCAGACCCAGTCAATCTCTAGTCACACATACTTTATTCTGCCAGTACCTAAACATCTAACATGTGAACTACTTACTGGAGTGAAACTTGAGGTTGTTGAGAGGGTTCTCACATTTCAAATTTTCTTGGGTTTTTCTAGATTGTCATCTTTGTTTTTTCCTGTATAGCAGAGGGATTACACAGCAACATTAATCCAACCATTTATGCACATCGTTTACCCAGAGGAAACCACTGAATCTTGCAGAGGGTCATTCACATATATGAAGAGTGCTGTGTCTACAACTGCAGAAAAGCCTCAGTTGTTTATGCATAATAATCCAGATAACGAGTGGTTTGTTCTCATGGATTGCTGAGCCGTTCCCTCTTCAATAGACGGTGTCAACTGAATCAGTCAGAAAAAGAGTGGCATTATTGTCTGTGAAGCACCAGGTAAGACTACTGACCTATGCTGTGGTGTTTCCAACGGCTGGTGACACCCAACGCTATGCTGCACAACCCTGGGTCAGCCGTGAATCTCGGGTCAGTACCAAAAAACATGGGATAAAAAGCATAACGATCCAATTGGCAGTTTGCTGCCCTCTGCGCTTTGAAAATAATTTCTGATGATTTAAAAAAACATTTTCTACAAAAACCAGCATAACCATTAAAGCTCAGGACTTTAATGTGATGGGTAGGAACAAGTTTCTACTCAGTTTGATAAAATGTTAAAAGATACAGGGAACTGGTTAAAACAATACTCAGTTGTCTAAATAGCTCATAGGATTTCCTGTGATTTTACAGCAAAGTAACATAGCTACCTTGTATGTTATACCTAAACCCCTGAAATTATGTACTTTGTTGCCAATTTCACAATTTACTTACTAGACTGTAACATAGTTGCAAGTTATGAATTGAATGCCTTGCATTAATTTGGTACAATACCATACTCGCTCAGATTAGAGCAAAAAAAGAAGATAATTGGTACGTGGATACAAATTAGAGTTTAATATCCCATGCAGCTGTTTACATCTGCTTAATTAAGCAGCAGTGACTTCACATTAGCATTGCTATGATACCATAAATACACACTAGAGAAAAAAAGTACAATCATGTTAGCCACCCTCTTAACGTCAAATCAATGTAAGTTAGGTATTTTGTACTTCAGTCTTGTTTTTTAATGGAACAAAAGAAGTCTTCACGTTTAAGGAGGATCTTCAGGTCTGATATATTTGGTTTTGGTACAAGTGCCAGGATTTTGTAAAAAGACTATGCTCCTGTAGGCAAACAGTTCAAGCACTAAATGAAGAACTTTAATGGTAACCATTAACCTAAATATAGTTGGAAGTCAGTGGGTAATTTTGCTTTTGGAGCCTTTACAAGAGCATCACAGTTGTTTTGTACAGTTACAGAAGGTAAGTAAATTCTCGTCTAGAAAAATGCAGTGCTGCTTTAACACCGACGAAGTTCTAACACTTGGACTATGTAGCATCAACTCTTTGTTTCATGTATTTACCTGCAGCTCTGGCACTGAGCTACTCATTCTGCTTTTTCACCAATGAGCCCCTGAAGTAATGCAGCTGTGCCCAAGGGGGGATTTGGAGAGGTACGTACAGCCAGGACAGGCCCTGCATTAACACAGCGTATCAACGGAACAGAAAAATTGTACTTTGGTCAGAACTATCAAAGTCTGTTAACCATCAGCATAAGAACACAACCTCAGTTGGTGCCATTTTTAATGATCAGAAATAATACATTGCAAAACAAAAAGTGAAAAAATTCCAGCGTGATACTTATAAACAGAGAACAAAGAGAAGACAAAAAAGCTTCGGTTTTGCCTGATTTATAGTACTTATAATACAACAGATCATTAGTCTGAGGTAATACCAGTAATAAATTTTTAGTCCTTCAAGGACTGCTCAAAAATTAAGAACAGTGATAATAATGCATGTTATGTTCTAAGTGAGACTCAATTATTAAATCAAACAAATCCCTTCCCCTTTTTAGTTAGGGATCTGTGGTTGCAAGTATAAAATTGGAAAGAAGTCTGTACAGTAGGAACTGCAGAACGTTGAAGTCCTGCGCGGCACCTCATCAGCCCCTGTCAGTACTCCAGAGTACAGCTGATCATGTAAAAATCAGACATTTCAACAGAGAAAAGACTTTGTTCCAGAATAGCCCTTAAGAAATTTAGAATACTGTTAGTTTGCATAAAATAGCCAAACAAAAGATGAATTCAGAAGTCCAAATTTTGGCACGAGGTAAAACCATGTGCATTTATTTAATCTGCATTTTAGAATTAGTAAGCATCAAATGAAATATGTTGACTGTAATGAATTCAGTCATACAAGTGCAAGCCTTCAGCTAGAATGTATTTCATGGCAGTTTCTTTAAAAAAAATGTACCAGTAAATCATAAAAGAGGGATCATGTCCATTTAACGTTTATTGAAGTATACAGGAGGTTTTCTTTAGAATCAAATATGAGCATGAATATATGGCCAAACAAAAAAAATCTATCAAATTCAGTGAAAATTTTCTGACTTTAAATAGTAGCTGTAAGAATGACCAATATATATTCTTTGTTACAACCGCCCTCACTCTACAAGTAAAAAAAAATAATAAACATTCAGTAAACATTCTTTCCTAAGGTAGTTTCCCTTATATATCAGTGATTTATCCATTTCTTGTATACATAACTTTTTAAACATACCAATCAGTGGTTCTCACAATTGAAAAATAAAAGCACAAAAAAGTTTACACTCTTGTACAGGTAAATAAAAGATCATCTTGAATTAAACTGTATATCCTTAAGGGCATAGTATAGTTTCAATTTCATTACCTATTACACAATTAGCTTCTTACATACAAATATTGACATATTTGGCTTGTGCTTCAAAGCCGTTTTGTCTAGAAAGTCCACGTCAATGCAACTCATAACTTGAAATCAGTGGGGATATCTTTACTGCTGCTGGGTTTAACCTGCTCGTGCAACACAGTCTCTTCTGCGCTTGTTGTGGCACCGCATTTTTCGGTGGGGTCCTCGGCGTCCGGATCCAATCCTTCAGGACAGGGCAGTTTTAGAAGCTCTTCCCGCAGCTGAGCTGTGTGACGCTGAATACACAAAAAGAAGTCAGCGTGGAAGACTACAGTTACAACTACACTTTTCACAATGTTGGGCAATGTAAGGCAAAACAGAAAGAGTAAGTAGAAAAGGTGTAAATGTACTGTTTCAGTGGCTGGATAAACTCTTCCCCTGTATTTAAGGATTGGTACTTTCCTTATAGTGAGAGAATAATTAGCAAGTGCTGCTAGGGACAAATTAAAGGCAGTGAACAGAACTGCAGTAAGCAAGTGCATCAGTATCAATGCTACGTGATTTGCCCTGCAGTTGAGTCCTATCCATGTTCTGCGCCAACAGCAGGAACCGGCTTGGACTAGGGCAGGCCATACAGTCAAAGCACAGATTTATAGAGTTCAAGGTCTTGGTGAGATCTGTTACAGGCAGATACACACAGATCTCTATACTGATCACAGCAGCTTCATTTTGACTACCAGTCACATTGAAAGAATGCAAGTCTAGCAACTGGAAAAAAGACTCTTTTTTTTTTCCTCCTCTAGGGAAGAAAAAAACCATAGGTCTGTTGTCTGTGTAGACACAAAATACACAAATGATAGTACTTGGCTAGGAAGGAAGAAAACAGGATAATGGTAGTAGCTGTTGATGAAAGTTTAACACAGGGTAAAACTAATTGTAATGGGCCATGGCGTAATAACTGTGCTTGTCTATTCAAAAAACTTGTTTTCTGGCAAGGAAGTGGTTGTAGTACAACTTTATCATAAACCCCCATCCACCCTTAGAGAGAACAAAATAAACTCTCTGTATCTTATGTAAGTTTTTATAGAAAAACAGGCAGGACAGGTGCTAAAGGAAAATGGAACTTGTAGAAAAAAAACACTGAGAAAATGGAAGGCATATACACTCTAGCTCTTCACAGCTGGGAAACTTAGGTTTGCTTACATGTTTTCAAGTTGCTGGGGCTTTCTATTATTATTCTAAAACTCAGCTGCTGGGCAATTTCACTACCATTTGTCATCTCTGGATTAAAGAACATAAAATTACAAAAGCAAGTCTCACCTTTAGAGCTGCTGCATGATGGGACATAGTCCTGCCTACCCGTTTGTCACTGCTGTACTGCTGTATGTCTGCTATCCACTCCTCACACTGAGCCATGATCTCCACTCTTTTCAAGTAAAAGTGTTTGTGGATGACCTGTAAGAAAATATTCCACAAGAAAGAAGAGAGTATTCAGTGTTTTCTAAGAACCACACACTTCAACAATACAAATTTTGCAAGAGCCCTATGAGTCTAACTGGATATAAAAGGGGAAAAATACCTAAATCGGTATGAGGATAATTCAGAATTGAACCAGGCTGCAAAATAAATTATTGAATTTCTGTCCTTGGAGGTTTCCAACTGGAAAAAGCCCTAAGGAACCTGGTCTGAATTCAGCTGATCCTGTTTTGAGGCAGAGGTTGGCCTGGGTGTCTCTTCCAGTCTGTATGAATCTATGCTTTATGTGCAGGCTGCCATTTCAGCATTCAGAGGGGTTACCTGGGTCAGGAGTAGAGTGCCATAAATACAGTATCACATCAGGGAAAAGAAAAAGTGACAGCAGAATGTTAAGACACTTTCTCCAGTTCAAAGATGATCTTACTATGCAGGCACTGTGTATGGATGTTTATGTTTGCACAAGGACAGGGTTACACAGATAGAGCATTAAGGCTTTTATTGTTGGTTTCACAGTTCTATTTTATCAAAGCAGCATGGGTAGGAAGTGTATGCAGCACACCTTCCCCTGTCACTAACCCTGTGCTGCCTGAGCAGAAAACAGATATGCAGAGACACTGTCAGCAGCGTGAGCACAGGAACTCAACACGCTTCTGCGCACGGAAGAAGGATCTCACCAGCTGCTGTGGAAGAGGTACAACCACAGCTACGTGCCCTGGGCAGAGGGAGCACCTCTGTGGGGACAAGAATTCCCAGGCAATAGTAGTTCAGCCGCCCACAGTTTAAGTGGGAATCAATATTTGGTTGCATAGTAATTTTGGTATTTCTGTACAGATTTGAGTTTAAAAAAACCACCCAACCAATCAACCCTCGGACAAAGTTGTGAAACTCTGCTTAGTGTTGGCTTTGTCTTACAGTTTGCTAAAACTCTGCCTGGTGAAAGAAACAATAAAATCAAAGACATTTTATTAAGCACAGACAGTTCTTGGCAATATTGCAACATAATTGACAAAATAATTTTTCCCTCTAGAGATTAGAGAATACAGCTATCTGTCTACAGAAAAACTGCATACTGAAAGCATAATTGACTTCAATTCTGGATGCATTCCTTATGTCCATAATGGAGCTTGGAAGAACTCCCAAAGACCAGCAGTTTGGATCTCCTGAGCATACCTGTCATTTCAGGCACTGAAGGGAAGACAGCTCAGGTTTGTGGAGACAAAATGTCTCATGAGCTGAAGGATGGACGTTCTTTCTCAGACCTCAGTTTTCAGGATGCCTTTGCATTTATGTTACTGAATGACCACCACTGTTAAGGTGCCTAACACAACCCTATAAAAATCCTAGAGGTCTTAACAACAAGCTAGACCCTCAGAGAAGTGCTCAGATAATCTGTGCTAGAGGGGCATTTCCATTTGGATGGGGCTGCAGACAGAATTTAGCATTCTTCCACAATTCAGCTATTGACTCAGAGAAAAACGTAATGCTTTCCAATACATAATTTCCATTTTTAGGTAAAGAAAGATTATGTGCCACTTTATATAATGATAGGGAATATGCATTCAGAGAAGCAGAAAGGGAGTTCTCATGCTGCACAAACTGATGAGGCACTGGGTAGGACCCCAAGCTTAAGCTAATATGATTGTGTTTTTAACACAAAAGCACGCTATCTGAGCCTCAAACTTCCCCTCACAGAAGCAGGCATCAAACTTCTCAGAATCTTGAGGCTTCCATCACACTGTCCTGACAACCTCAATGCAAGAAAAACCAGAAAATTTTATCTTGGGAAATGAGGAAAACTGCAGTTACCTAAACCAGAACCAGTTTGGACGCAAAGCTTTTAAGGTGTTGGCCAGTTCTCTTCTGTGCAGTAAAACTCGTGTCTGTTCACAAGTCCGGCTGACTCACAAACACCAGCCAATGGTTTTCACATGGAATGGAAAAGGTACCAGCTGCCATCAAGAATGAGCCAAGCTGCATGGACCATGCACGCACCAAGCCTCCTCACAGGTCAGTCCCACTTTGTGTGCATTCCCCCTTCCCAGAAAATTATCTGTGAAGTCAGGAGTGCCCTTATTCACTTCCATCTCGGGAGCCAGTTGCCCCAGGGAATAAAGACGATGCTAAAACAGACATCTTGTACATGACATGTCCAAATATTTGCATTATTCTTAATACTCAAACCAGATAAATAATTAAACAGATATTTACTGTGTTTCACAAAACCTACCTCCTTAAAACACGGCGATGGGTTTCTGATTTGTTCAAGCATTGCCCACTTGACTGTTGCCTGTCGTATATTCCCATCGTATTCTCTAGAGCTCTGGGTACCGCTTGGGGTACCTCTTGATCGTTCGTAACCTGGTTCATTAAAATAGGGTTCTGCTACCAGAATTAGGGATTGGACAGACACTAACACCTGTTAAGGGAAGAAACTAAATATTAAAATTGTGCCAGCTACTCGTTTTTACAGATATACATAGTCTTGCTCACCCTATATGCAAAACCACTTCATGGCAAAGTACTGTCATTTGTAACACAGGCTGCTTGCAACCAGGGAATGTCCATGCTTTCAAACTGAAACCATTACTACATGCAAAAAACTAAGTCCTACGACCAAGTATTTAGCTTAAACACTGAGAAAATGAAAATTATAAGTTAAAAAATCCCCTTAAATATAAATAGAAGTAAATGTTTAAATGAAGAGATGTCTGATTGTGCCCTTTTGTGAAAGAAAGTCTGTTTGTCAAGTTCTCAGTCAACAATTCTTGAACTTTTCCTGTCGCTGAGCTTACTGATTCTTCCAATCCTGAACAAGATCGAAAAGGGACAAGGGAGATGAGGTGCGAACCACTGAAATTCATCTTGGTACACATGCTCTGCCATGTTTTCTTTCAAATGCATTCAGTTGATTTGGGTATGTTTTCAGCCGTTCAGTTTCAGATTTTACATGTAACACCGTGTGTCATATGCCATTAAAACAAAACCTCAGTACTCCTCTTGAGATAGGAAAAAAAATGTTTTCAGTACTGTATCGACAAAGCACCAAGTATACAGTGACAAGAAAACTACATTTTCCCCTCAATTTTATTTTCCAGTACATGTGGGAATAGATCCTTACATCCATACAAGGCATTTAGTTAAATGCCCAAGTATTCCTATTATAAAACAAAGAATTAAATATACACAGGGCACTTAGGAGTCCAAATGTATATGTATTGCATATTCGTGATTTGATGGCTTGCTAATTTTTCTGGTATTAGAATGTTTGGCCCTGTCAACTTGTTGTACCTAATCAAAACTGTTACATGCAAAAATGTAACATGCATGTTACATTGGTAGAAGGACATCACTGACTTTTTTGGAAATGTATTTAAAATGAAGAATAGGTTTTTCTTCTCTGGGCCGAGTCCAGCAAGAATTTTAGGGATTACAATTCTGTGACACAAATCTAGTTCCAGACCTGTAAAGACTTCAAAAAAGGTGATTTAAACACATTTCCTCACATACTGAGAAACTGGTAACATGTTACATGCTGAAGAATGGCATTGCCGGCACCTGGCATACTTAGGTGCAAGACATCTAGTGCAATAGGTTAAAAATATCAGGGCAGCTGTTTCTGGAACTGAATAGATACAATTTAAAGCTTGGAACCATCCCCTAATATAGCAGCCCAGGTTGTGAATTTGTATATGGATGACTAAGAGTCCTCCTTTTCCTTGGAACAGGCAGAGCTTACAGCTCACATCAGGCAGATACCATGGCAGTGGCAAATAAGGGCCTGGGTGCTTTCACAGGGCAACAAGGGAGCTGTGCTCTGTGCTGAAGCATGGCACTCTGAGTTTCTCTTGCAGCAATGACAGCACTAAACTGTTTTACAGCTTCCCTTACTTTCTGTGTCACTCCGTAGACACAATGCCAAAGCTGTGACCTGTATCAAAGCAACAGCCCAAGAATCAGTTGAATGACCCAGGTGAATGTCAGGCCCACCATCACCTCTGGGAAACACCCTCATTGCTTTTGGTGCCATGACGCTTCCTGGTTGTAGTCCTGCGGTTGCTGTGCTTTAACTACGGCAGAGAAGGGCACCCTAGGGCAGCTGAGTCTTTATTCTGATGGATGGGGCAGGTGGCTGTGCAGCGGGAAATGGGAACGGGCATTCCCCGTTGGGCCAAGAAGGAAAGTTACACAAGTTGTGCTGTTTCCCAGGCAGAATGTTAATGCCAATGTGCTAAGCCAAGAGAGAGTACTTCAGGTCCAAGGCTACAGAGACCTATGGGGTTTTGGTGATCTGTGGCCTTTACGTGTGTCTGGAAGTAGTTAGGTTTTGCTTTTTTCATTTTATATTTTAAAAAGATATATATTTTTAAATAGCTATGGTAGAGAAATTTGACATAATGCAGCACTGTACTTTCTTGGCCTTAATAACCAGTTGTTACTTTGAGTTACAATTGTAATGAATGAGAAACTCTAAACTAATCTTCCAGTTTCATTTGGGTTATAAAAGTTAGTTTCTGAAGTATTTTGGGTGGTCTGACAATAGTTTCATCTTTGAGCCAGAAAAAACATGTACTGCTTAATTCTTTCCAAGTAATTTATTTAGTCCAACAGCTGTTTTGCATTTAAAAATGACAAAGTGTTTTTCTCCCAGTATGGGGGGAGGGGGGCACCTTTTCCAACAGCTTTCTTACTATTTTCAAAATGATACCCTAAAATACTTTAAAATGTGAAACTTAATTTTAACAATCAAATCTAACATTTTAATCTAAGAAAAAGGACTTTAGTGAAAATAAGACTTCATAATACTTGGACATTTCTGCATTGATTTCATTAATACAGTACAGAATTTCAGTTCCTCTCTTGATTAAGAAATTCTATCTTGGTACAGTGACACTGTGTAAGGAACCACAACTTAGATCTCCAAATCATAATTGTCCCTTGAAGGGAGAGGGAGCATAACTACCTCTGAGGATGGAAATTCCAGTCTCTCTGTCCCAGTGCTTGGCCACCCTCATAGGGAAAAAGTTTTTCCTAATATTTAAGAAAAATTTCCCATGTTCCAGGTATCTGGCTCCATCTTCTCTCTACCTTCCCCATTTAGGGACTGAACACAGCAGTAAGATCTCTTTGCCATTGGCCCAGCCACTTTTTCACCCACTTATAATGCACATTTCACCGATCTGGCTGCAAGAATACTATGGGAGACTGCATCAGAGGTCTTGCTGAAGTCAACATAAGCTCCATCCACTGCTCTCCCTTTGAGCAAAGCCAGTCACTCCACTGCAGAAGGCAGGCAGGTTAGGCACTATTCGCCCCCAGTAAATCACACTGGCCGTTTTCACTTTCTTCTCTTCCATGTACTTGGAAAGAGCTTCCAGGAGGATTTGCTCCATAATCTTCCCAAGGAGTCCAGATCCTCCTTCCTGCCCGACTTGAAGTTAGGTGTGAGATTTGCAAGGAAGCTCCCTTGATTGTTCTGACCTTTCAAAGTTGAGAGCTGGTGGCTTTGCAGTGACATTGGCTGGCTCCCTCCGCACCCTCTGATGCGTGAGATTTGGTTTTGTGAACCTGTGGGTTCAGTCAGCTTGAATGCTCTTCCCTCTGCTGTGGGTAATTCCTCATTCTCACAGACCTTCCTTTCCTGGCGAGGGTGCAGGGACATGGCAAAGCAAACCTTACCCATGCTGGCTTTCTGCCACTCTTGCTTGACTGTCTCACACCAGAAGAGACCATTCTTGAACTTTTAGGTCAACCAGCTCTCCCAGGCCAATTCCTGAACAGGCTGACATCTGTTCTGGTAAAGGCCAAGGTTGTTAATTCTACTACGCTGAAACAGAAACTGTACCATCTTTTTGGATTTGGAACAGAAAATGTACCTTGCGCTACTTAATAATTACTCCAAGGAAGAAATAAATTCAGAAAGTGCCAGAGGAAATAAGTCATCGCAAGCTTTACTTTTATTTAATGTGTGTGCTTGTTAATCAGTGCATACCTATGACATAAACCTGAAAATTGTAAGGACTGCATGTTCTAATAAATTCCAGTCTAATTTAACACTAATTGTTATTGAACACAGTAAACCTACACTTTAACTCCTTTCAGCTTTATTCCTCTTTTCAGCTTACTTGTAGACACTGGAGGAGTACCTTTACAGTTCTCACTCATATACTTTGCTTTCTCAATGGGGAGCCTGCTTTGTCTTCACTATAAATAGCTTGGGACAGAGTTCCAAGAAGTGATAACATCTTCCAGGTTTTTTATTTGTTTGTTTGCTTTAAATAAATACTTGAAATAATCCAAGCAAAGTCCAGGCAGTGCAGGAATAAGCAGCACACATGAGCAGCCACTCTTCAAGACAAGACCAACAGAAATACTGGCTGGAAAGAGCATTTCAAAGAACTTGTTGACTCTACAGTGTTTCTTTCCTAGTGTGCCAATGAGGTTTTTGGACTTTTGTCTTACTTATGCTTAAGAAAATTCTGGTTTAAAAGCACTAGAAAAAGAATCCTCTGGACTGACCGACCACACACTACTCCTAAATGACATCTCCTGAAGAGAAAGAAGAAATGCTCACCTGCAAAAAACTTGATGTTTGGGGGTTCCATTTCTCTTCTGGCCTCCCATGCCATGTGTTAAGTATGCTTAAACACACCTGAAAAGGCGACATTATTAATACCACAGACAAATACTAGGATGAAATTCTTCTGCTTGGGCAGAACAGAATGGTAACTTTTTTTTTAATAAACTTTTGTATAACTGCATCCTAAAACAAATTTGTTTCTTATGAAACTAATTTGAAATGAAAGCAGATAAAAAATACTGTGGATAAGCAAGAACAGCATGATATTAAGTGAACAAAGTAAGGTAGATTACTTTTCTTCAAGGAAAACCTATGGATTCTAGTGGGTCCAAAAATAAATGAATCATGAATACAATCTGATTCTTGACTTTCTTCTTTAAATACTGTTGTAACTTTTACTGTTGTGAGTTTTAAAAACAACCATTCTGCCTAAACATGTGAAAGTGGTTTCTGTCGCACAGACTATCACAGGACTGAAAATATTTGTTAATTTTTTTGACTGATCTGGACTTTAGGGAAAACTATGGAGTTCTTGAACCTTATCACAAAATGGAACAATCAAAGACAAGGAACACAAAGAGACAAAATAAACAGAAGAAATTTAGAGGTGAGTATTTGCCAGGACTTAATGAGCGTTAGGCAAAGAAATAAGGAGATAAAGTCTCCCATATGAATTACACTCTGTGTCCATGTTCGGAGAAAACCCTGTGTCGAGTACTGGAACAGAGCTTCATAGCTTGTGAAAACAGGGAGCATGGGGAACCCATGAATGACAGTGGAATAAGGGAAAAATGTGAGCCTATGGATTAAATGTTTACACAAAAGAAGAAAAGAAAAAGGCTGAAGGAGTGGCAGAGTGCTACAGCCAAAGCTGCTCTCTGGGTCTGTGCTTTGGTGGAGTCACACACATCGCCATCGCTATGGCTCGCTCTGCAGAGAATTTAATGTGTACTTATTTTTAAAACAAACAGGAGTTGCATTTCCCTGATACAAACTTGACTTTTTGTTACCTTTCTGGAGCCTTTACAGTGAGCCACAACATACCAAGGAGATGGGGGGAGGGAAGGGAGAAAACTTGTTTGTTTTAACTTTTAATATTATTTCCAAAATACTATTTTTTGAGAAAACTGACACTAAGTATATATTTTAGAGTTACATTTTTTTAAGGATACTGAAGTTAAGGAAAGGCTTTATCTTTCCTCAAGAAAAAGCACTTTTGCATGGAAAAAGAGAGATGGGGCACTTGGCAAACACATTCAGTTGCAGCTGATATGAAGCATACTTTGTCCATGGAAAGGATCCTGGGTATTTTGGCAAGCCAAAATAGATTTCTGCCTGGTTAATTTAGCAAAGAAGATGGAAAAGAACATTTTTCTAGGTCAAAGATACTTGCTTTTTGGTTGAATCTTAAATCTAAAGACTTCTTAAAGTTTCCAAGACTATTCAGAAAGGAGATTACTCCCACTTGAAACTCTTAAATTGCTCTTCACTGCAGTTTGCAGACCTGTTTTAACTAAACGGCCTCTTGCAGTGTCAGGAGCGGCTGAGCATTGGACTGCAAAAGGGAAGAAGTTTAATCCATTTCACTTCCCTGTTACACCAGAACAAAGCTGCCCTACCTTGCCGTCATTGTAGAGATTGGGATTAAATCTCACGCTGTGGCCTCCAGTTGTTTCCAGATTCACAAGCGGAGGGGAATTGGGATAGTCTTGTGGAAAATACACATCGAATTCAAAGCAACCATTTGCGTAAGGGGTGTCTGCAGGACCAGTAATGAGAACCTACCATTGTAAAAAACAAAAAAATGACAGTTGTAAAAAATCAACCCTTATATTTGTCACACAGTTGAGGTTTTTACAAGTTGTACGAAGCGTTTTATTTCTGCATGCTGCTTATCAGAAAATACCGTCAGGTATCACAATCATATGCAGGCTGTCAGTCTGTTCGTTTTGCTGCTCTGGGTAAGTGGAGCCCTCTGCTAACGTTAATTTCTCCAGATTATAAATGGAAAGCAAAACAGAAGGAGCTAAAACTCTGCCCCCTATTGGATGCTATTAATAGAATTTCTCTTCAAACCTCAGGTCCAGAGATACTCAGTGCGCTTCTCCGTACCTACTGCTTTTCATCGACGTAGGAAGTCAAGGAAGGGAGCCAGGAG